GGTTTCATATTGTTGGTGGAAATTTCCTTATTGACTGAGAAACAGCTTTCCACTGAGGCCTTTCCATTAGAGAGTACCAGCAACCTGCAAAAAACTATCTACAATTTTTGATATTCTTTGTTGTTAGACAAAGAAGAGTAGAACAAAGTTTCTATATGTTCTTAATGTCTGCTGAAATTCTTGAAAGCAATATTTCCAGCAACCTTCTCCTCAAACTCTTTGTACTGACTGATGATGTCATTACAATCAGACTTGTTGATTTGTTTTTTGTTTATCATGTGAGAAAGGCATCTTTTTAAACTGTTTTCTGTGGCAGATTTTTTTTCACAAATAGATCCAGGGTCCAGCCATGTAAATGATCTTACAAGAGGGTATCTAAAGGGAGACTTTGCCAGAAGTTTCTCAATGCTGGGGATGAAATTGTCTGTTTCAATTCTGCATGCAAACAAATCTTTTGTTGACACATTTCTTTTTTTTTTTGGATACATTTTTCGTAGCACTATTTTCCAAAAAATGCACTATACAGCATCTTTAGGTTTGACAAAATTCTAACACATTCATTCAGTTTTGAAAATGTAATTATCTTTTTAGTGTGTCATTCTTTGACAAATCTTAAGTTTCATGATGATGCTAAAAAGATCATCCGCAAGAAAAGGAAGCAACACTATCGCTCTATTTTATCAGAAACGGTTCGATGTTTTTCAAAACATACACAAAAGGGCTGTGCTATTTTTGGACCTGGTCCAGGAACATGTGCTCAGGCTACCACTTTAAATTAACCTTGCGTCACATCTTGTTGGGTAACAAGAAAATACAATCCCTTTTGGCTAAGATCAAGGTCTAGTATCTGTTACCAGGTTAATCTGATTCTATCTTTCTTTCATTTTCTCACTGAAACCAAGTAGTGTTCCCCCTTTCTTTCCATGCAATCAAAACAGAATAGTCCATTAGGAGGATTTGGCAGAGAATAATGACTGTGCAAACTAATAAAGGGTGAAAGAAGCAATTATAATAGGGACTGTATATACAATCAATTCTTTTGAAGTTTACAACAACCAAGTGATTTATGGCCCTGTAAACAAAATACTGCTCTTACTGAGAAGAGGAAAATAAAAGAAAGAAAAAAAAGATGCTTTTCATTAATTTAATTAAGTACCTTACCTTCAGCTCGATTTGCCTGCTCCAGTATTCGTCGTTTCCACTCTTCATAGTTTACGGAAGGTTTCTCAGGTTCCATACACTGCTTCTTAGGGGATGGTTGCATTTCTAAAAGAAACACAATCCAAATTTTTAAACATGGCAATTATACAGATACTAATCAGTTTAATAAATAAGGAATTAAAGAAACATTGTTAATGAAATTAATACGAATTCCAAATTCAAAGTAAATAAAATAATAATTGATATTAATAAATTAAATAACTGTGCCTGGCATCTATGTATTTTGTGGGGGTGAAGAAAAAGAGAGAGAGAGAGGAAAGAGAGAGAGAGAGAGGAAAGAGGGAGAGAGAGAGGAAAGAGGGAGAGAGAGAGGAAAGAGAGAGAGAGAGGAAAGAAGAGAGAGAGGAGAAGAGAGAGAGAGAGAAAAAAGAGAGAGAAAAAAAGAGAGAGAGAGAAAAAAGAGAGAGAGAAAAAGAGAGAGAAAAAAGAGAGAGAGAAAAAAAGAGAGAAAAAAAAAGAGAGGAAAAAGAGAGAGGAAAAGAGAGAGAGAAAAAAGAGAGAGAGAGAGAGAGAGAAAAGAGAGAGAGAAAAAAGAGAGAGAGAAAAAAAGAGAGAGAAAAAAGAGAGAGAGAAAAAAAGAGAGAGAGAAAAAAGAGAGAGAGAAAAAAAAGAGAGAAAAAAAGAGAGAGAGAAAAAAAGAGAGAGAGAGAAAAAGAGAGAGAGAGAGAAAAGAAAAGAGAGAGAGAGAAAAAGAGAGAGAGAGAGAGAGAGAAGAAAGAGAAAGAAAAAAAGAAAGAGAAAAAAAAAGAGAGAGAGAGAGAAAAAAAAAAGAGAGAAAAAGAGAGAGAAAAAGAGAAAAAAGAGAGAGAGAGAAAAAAGAGAGAGAGAGAGAAAAGAGAGAGAGAGAGAGAGAGAGAAAAAAAAGAGAGAGAGAGAAAAAAGAGAGAGAGAGAGAAAAAAGAGAGAGAGAAAAAAAAGAGAGAGAGAAAAAAAAGAGAGAGAGAAAAAAAAAGAGAGAGAGAGAAAAAAAAAGAGAGAGAGAGAAAAAAAAGAGAGAGAGAGAAAAAAAGAGAGAGAGAGAAAAAAAAGAGAGAGAGAGAGAAAAAAGAGAGAGAGAAAAAGAGAGAGAGAGAGAAAAAAAAAAGAGAGAGAGAGAAAAAAGAGAAAAAGAGAGAGAGAAAAAGAGAGAGAGAAAAAAAGAGAGAGAGAAAAAGAGAGAAAAAAAGAGAGAGAGAAAGAAAAAGAGAGAGGAGAAAAAAAGAGAGAGAGAAAAAAAAAAAGAGGAGAGAAAAAAAGAGAGAGAGAAAAAGAGAGAGAGAGAGAGAAAAAAAAGAGAGAGAGAGAAAAAGAGAGAGAGAGAAAGAGAGAGAGAAAAAGAGAGAGAGAAAAAAAAGAGAGAGAGAAAAAGAGAGAGAGAGAAAAAAAAAGAGAGAGAGAGAAAAAAAGAGAGAGAGAGAAAAAGAGAGAGAGAGAGAAAAAAAAAAAAGAGAAAAAAAAAAAAAAAAAAAAAAAAAGAGAGAGAGAAAAAAAAAAAAAAGGAAAAGTTTTTTCATCTGAAAGTTCTCCACTGTCTTAACTGGATATTAAACTCACACTCTCTGGGTCCTGTCACCGGATCTAACCAATGCTTTTATCCACTGTCACGTGTCCTTGAGGAAAATTAGCAGGAGATAACTGATAACTGACATCCATTAAACAAGGCACATGGAACTAGAACAGTCTATCCCAGTGAGCGAAATAAAGGGTTAAGTTCGACATTCCAACCACCTGAAGAAGGCTGGAGCATGCAATGGCTGAAACGTAATAAATTTAGCGACAAAGATGAGGGCAATAGTCCGAATAATGTAAATAATTTCCAATTTATCTTTGTTTAATTTATTCTAACTCATGCTTGACAGCATAGTGATGCCTATTATTATATTTCTTGCACATGGCAATTTTATCATAATAAATGATACTGCATGTTTTAATTACGAAATATTTTTCTGCCCATAAAATAATGAATTTTCTCTTTTCTTTTCTTAGTATTATATGCCATGACCAATTGCTGGGTTATTAAAAATATAAATTTAAAGTTAACTAAATAATTAAGAATATAACTGGAATGTGTTGAAAGTATTTAAATTATTACAGACAGACAGACAGACGGACCTGTATCTGTATTATATACCTGAAATTAGAAGGAAATAAAGAATAAATTTAAAGTAGAGCCTTCCACTTGGCATTAGGCTTAGCCTTGTGTCACAAAATATGCCTGACACTCTTAAAAAGAGGGATGAGTCTTTTTCATCTTCTTGATTAAAGCTTTCCATTCTTGATCACTAACAGCATAAGTGGACACTGATAGTACCTTTTACAAATCACTTTGCATGGGTTTGAGGTCACTATCCTTGACGTAAAAAAAATTTTTTGAAACTGAATCAAAGTGACAGACTACGCCCACAAAATTTTTCATTGGTTAGTTCAAAATTGTCACCAATTACATCATTACAATGTCAAAGGGTATCCTTTTATTTATTTGCTGTTCCATTAACAGCAAATTTGGCACAAAATCAGTTTAGCATGGGAGGTTTAAACAGGAGACCAAGGAATTAACAACATAATCCAGAGCCAAAAAACTATGCTAAATTTTTAGCTAGTTCTGGCTCTTGTCCCAGGTACCAGACGCTGCATCTCGGCAAAGGCCTTTGCTACCTTCCCCTCTGATGAGGAAGGGAGCCTACTAGCACAACCTGAGAATTTTCAGCATATTAAAAGTAAATGAAAATATACCTAAAGATGTTACGGCGCAGTGGGCCGGACAATCTTGGTTTAACCAATTGGAATTCAGCCTGCCCAAACCTACCCTGTAAATATCAACTCTTAACGTTCCATGCACCCCCCATGTATACTCTGCCATGTTATATGACATCACAAATGATGCAGTAAGTTTTGCAAACCATGAGACTTTCAGAGAGAGAGAGAGAGAGAGAGAGAAAAAAAAAAAAAAAAAAAACAACAACACACACTAAACAGACATTTTCCCCTTGATACCACTGTTATTTTAACTAATTTTGCTCCACAGTAATGTTTGTTTTAAAAAGTGATGAATATTAATAAAACCTAAACACATAAAAATTAATTTATAGTTTTTGTTCTTCAGAATTTGCAACAAAAATATTTAACACTGGTTATTGCAATGGTCGGCAAATTGCCAATTGATTCGAACTGTATAGTTTTTAGGATGTTTTAAATATAAAATTATCATCCTTGTAAACAGAATTGCCCACTTAATAACAAATGTTTAACCAATAATATACAAAGTTACTATAACTAAATGATATAACCACAAAATATCCTTTGACAGAAAAAAAGTTACACCAACAACACAACCTTATCAAAATATATTTTCAAAAAGAAATCATCCATAACAAAAACAAATGAGAAATTACAAAAGATTACCCTCATACATGAAAAACTGAAAACTATGCTTAGAGGAAAAATTACAAATAGTTTTAAAAACCAAATACAAACTACTAAAAAAAAAAAAAAAAAAAAAAAATTGAATATATATATATATATATATATATATATATATATGAGACACACACACAAAAAAAAAAAATGCAACCACAACATGTGCATATAAAAAAAAATTATTTGTGCAGAAAAAAAAAAAAAAAAAGTAAAAGTCTACTTACCATTTGCTTTTTCTTCAATTTCTTCAATTAAAGTCCGGCTCTTCTTTTTGACAACACATTTTTTAGCTAAATGAAAGAGACAGGGGAAAAAAAAACATAAAACCCGGCTTTTCCAGTAATGTTCAAAGACAAAAAATTATGTTAAAAGGGAAAATAACTGAGACATAGAATGTGGAACTTGAACAATATCCCCTGGTGGACAAAAAGCACAGATACACAAGCACAGATACACAAGCACAGATACACAAGCACAGATACACAAGCACAGATACACAAGCACAGATACACAAGCACAGATACACAAGCACAGATACACAAGCACAGATACACAAGCACAGATACACAAGCACAGATACACAAGCACAGATACACAAGCACAGATACACAAGCACAGATACACAAGCACAGATACACAAGCACAGATACACAAGCACAGATACACACAGATACACAAGCACACAGATACACAAGCACAGATACACAAGCAGACACAAGCACAGATACACAAGCACAGATACACAAGCACAGAGATACAAGCACAGATACACAAGCACAGATACACAAGCACAGATACACAAGCACAGATACACAAGCACAGATACACAAGCACAGATACACAAGCACAGATACACAAGCACAGATACACAAGCACAGATACACAAGCACAGATACACAAGCACAGATACACAAGCACAGATACACAAGCACAGATACACAAGCACAGATACACAAGCACAGAGCACACAAGCACAGATACACAAGCACAGATACACAAGCACAGATACACAAGCACAGATACACAAGCACAGATACACAAGCACAGATACACAAGCACAGATACACAAGCACAGATACACAAGCACAGATACACATGTCAACTTTTACTACTCCTTGTGAAGTTCTGAGGTGTTATAAGCAAAATCACTAAGGTGGCTTTTTATTTTGTCAAAAAAGTGACGTGCTCGTGTTTACATACAAGACGACACCAGCATTTGTTTGCCCTTTCATTCATCTGACTGGCATATTTATTTGCCTCATTGACAGATAAAGTTATTATTACATCATTTATACATAGATGAAATAATTCACCTTCAGAAAAGCTATCAGATATACCAATTGTTGCCAGTAGGTTCCATAAAATTAGTCAGCCACGGATGATAATTGCCACTAGTGGTCATCATCACTTTCCTCCACGTCACTAGGGTGGTTATCATCTTTGACCATTTCACCATCAATATCCACTCGAGTAAAGCCTTCAAAATCATCATCGGAGTGTTAATCATAGAAAAACACCTGAATAAAGCTTTCGTTGGATGTTGATGTGGCCATTTTTGTTTACAAAAAAAAAACAAAAGAATTAATGTGGGTTTAATTGAGGTGATACCTCGTGTAGAGTTAGAGGAATTCAAACTGATGTCGGAAAACAGAAGCTTAGCCTCGTTCCAAAGCAGTAGTAGGCAATTTCCAGCTTGAAATACCGGAAATAACAGTTGACAAGTGTTTATTTATAGCAACCATCTTGAGGTGACATAATACGCATAGAGTAGCAAAGGGCGAGAATTCTACAGTGACAATTTTCACCTCCAGTGTGGTAAAGGTTAAGTTGAAATTATGGGAAGACTCATTATAAGATAAGAAAAGACAAGAAAAATAGACAAATAAAGAAAAACAGAAGGCAACTTACTTATCAATTTCACGGTATATTTTTGGAGTTCAGCCACAAGTTTGTCGTAAACAGATTTTTTCACTGAGCAAAGTTCTCTGAGCTTCTGTCGGTCAATTTTGCATTTGTATTGTCTGATGAGGAAAGAGAAAGAATCCAATAAATCGAGAAAAAGAGAGACAGAGAAAAATATAAACATCTGGCACATCAATATCTACATGGGCACCATAATCATTAAATTTGTTTTTCATAGACATAATCATAGCCAGGTTAGTGGGCTTTTCTTAACAGCAATCAAATGAACTCTTACAAAGAGCAAGCAGAATACTCTGGTAAAACAACATCTATGTGAGTCACATAGCACGGCAACATAATTTTCAATACAGGTACACCAATATTCCAGCACTCTGTTTTTGACCAACTAATTCTGCATCTTTCCTATTTCTACAGCACCAGTGTTAGAAACCATTGTTAAGGATAAATGATATGTGAATTAAATTAATCTGGCAATTGTGTGAAATTCAAATGCTTGCTTGTTCAGATTAAAAGTGGTGCAAGTACCATAAATTGCCAGAAATATTGGTGGTGTACCTCTATTTGCAGATACAAGTGATCTTTTAAGTGTGTGCTTAAAATAGGACATATCAGTGTTACAAGTGGTCAAATGAAGGCAAAGCACATGATATAGTCAGCAGACATTAAAAAATAATTGAAAGGAATATTTCAAACCGTGGATGAAATTAAAGAGGATACAAAAAAAGCAACTGATAGCAATGCCAAAAAAGGATTTTGGCAAGGGGGAAGAGATATTGGGACACCAAAGTAAACCTCAAGCAGTGATAGTTTCATGCCTGAATGCCATCTTCAGGCTATTCATTGGCCTGAAGACAAAGTTGAAGCATGAAAGAGTGTCACCGATAGGAGTTGACCTCAATGTCCACTATTTATATTTAGTTGATGATTTTTTTTTTTTGTTGTATTTAGTTGTTTTTTTTTTTTCATGACAAATACACAAGAGAGCCAGAAAGAGTGCCAGAAAAAGAGAAAAAAAGAATCTTTTATCAGACTAATCATTTACTGCACTTCAACTGTTTTTTTTTTTTGTTTTTTTTCACATTCCAAGCAATGAACAAGTTTACTGATCTTTGCAAATATTCCTGCCACAATTATTAGTTTTTATTTTACAGACAGGTGTTTGGAATTCTTGTAAGTACTTGAGAGATTCAGAAAGCTACTTGATAAAACTGACTTGCCACTTAAGAAAGAACACTAATATAAAATATCTGCCTCCTTTCTAAACAGACGTCATATAAGCAAATATATCAGTATGATTAACTCGGGTTGGTTGATTTTGTTTAGTGGCATACCAACACCTCTATGGGTTACTTAAAACCAAAATCCAAATATTTTGAACGCAATATTATGCTTTCAACTACAGACAAAATATATTGCTGCTAATTCAACTAGAAATAGGTATTCTATTTACATTATTCGGACTATTGTTCTCATCTTTGTTGCCATATTTATTACAATGATTCAGCCGTCGTACGCTCCAGCCTTCTTCAGGTGGTTGGAATGTCGAACTGAACCCTTTATTTCGCTCACTGGAGTAGACTGTTCTAGTTCCACGTGCCATGTTTAATGGATATCAGTTATCTCCTGTTAATTCCCCTCTCCAAGTTCTCTACTGCCTTAACCGGGTATTGAACTCACACTCTTTGGGTCCTGTCAATGGATCTAACTAACGCCTTTATCCACTGTGCCAGGTGTCCTCAAGGAGCCACTCAAAATTTTTAAATTTAAAATAAACTTTTTTAAGGCTGTGAAAGTCAAGGTAAACTATGGCAGATGATAAATGATGTAATTTAACCTTTAGCACTGCCTTATTCACTACTTTCCTTTCCACTACATTGTTTTTCAAGGATCACCTACTGCGCTACTTAATTTCAGTCATGGTCATTTTCTGTTGCCATAGCAGGATAAAATTTTTGCTTTGCAAGCAAAAATCACCTCCAGAATGTTAAAGGTTAATTAGAAATAAAAAGTTCTTAATACTTACATACAAGCAGCATTCACAGCTGCAGCTAAAAACAAAGTGGAACAGAAATCGACATCTACATAGGATCTCTTTAAATCTTCCTGGTACCTGGAAACAAAAAGAGGTCATTGTACAAGGCATCAATTAACGCTTTGGACATAATAAAATCATATACAAATGTTCCGTTATATGAACATATGAAAATGTAATGCTATCTCAGCCAGAGACAGATTGCAAATTCACATGACATTTTACTTTTTTTGTGTTTAGGAATTTCAGTCATTGAGCATTTTTCAAGCAGATACATCCTTGTGAGCGGCCAGGATGCTGGGGGACAGGTACTTTCACCAAGATACTATCTCCAGCCGAGGCTAAAGAATAACTATCTGCTCATCGGTTGATTACTTTTGACTATGTAACAGTACATTCAACTTCCAAACATTTTTGCCTATCCAATCGCATTCAAAAGGCTTTGGTTAACTTTTAGAATGGTTTCCAGGCCCTCCCCAATAATACCATACATTGGGATCATCTCCCAAGAACGATATTATTAAAAATTCACTCTTGATCAGGGCTGGCTCAATATCTTCTAGGTAATAAAATCATAAGACCCCCACCTCCACCCTCTCAGACAGAGCCACCTTGTAACTCGACAAGGCCCATTATTTTAGTAACATTTATATAGCTTGAAGTAAACTTATTGCAAACCAAATTCACACACATTAAAAAAAATAAATAAATAGAAACAATAAAAGAAAAAGATTATAACCAGCATTATAAATTCTGATAAAAAAAAAAAAAAAAAAAGCATCATTTCAGTTTATAAAACTATTTTGAAGTTATAACATCTAGAAAATTAAAATCATTGTTTTACAAAAAGTTGAGGTCCAATGCTGCAGCCTATACGAGCCTAAAGAATTAAAATAAATATGTGTTTGTCATCTTGATGTCATTTCACTTTATGAAACTATTTTATGTAAATAGTGTAATTAACAACAACTCATCCCAGAAATCTTTCAAACATTTGGTTGAATAATATTGATAAATTCTGTCTATCCAATTTTCTTTTATCAACTTTTACAATTTCCCAAATTAGTTTTATGTAATTGGTAAATTTAACAAAGTTCATATTTATTTATATTTTATTTTATTCTCCATCTCCAAAGTTCTTTGGAATGTTGCTACATTCGTTTTCAATGATCGTGTTTTTGTGTATGTTTATGTAACTGTTTTCTGTTAAATCCCAATGTTCCCAAATTTGCTGGAAACAATTTCAAATCATTCAAGGTGATTTGATTTATAATGGCCAAACTGAATTTTTATGCAGATTTTAATTTTTAATAAAATAAAATTATACATAAAAACTTGGAGATATGGAAAAGTTAAATTGGATAGACAGAAGTTGTCGATATTCAGCCAATCATGTTTGAAAGAATTTTTGCTGCCAAAATACAGTGCTTGTATGTAAATACCCCATATGTATAACTATTTCTCCCTGCAATATATGCTCTGTAATGAATACATTGAGCTCTCTTGGTGGATCAATTTTAATATTTTATATTATTAGGATTCACTTGGATTATTTACCCATGGATTTTTACATTATATAAAAAGTAAAAGGTTTGTCACTTAGCTGATTGATGTTAGCATCCCAACTCCAGAGTTTCATAGGTGAAGTTATAGAATCATTAGAGTTGGTTTATTACAGAAACTCTAGTGTAGTCTAGATGATGACAGCAACGTCAAGGAAGATTTAATTGATCTGAGAAACAATCGGGGAATCCAAATACAGTTCCCTGATGGTTGCCTCAGGCAATTCTAGACGTCTCATTTGGAAACGTATCCTGTTCTGGCAAAAATGTTCTTGTGCTGGTGCCTTTTGCGACTACATACTTGTGTGAAACTGGATTTTCCTGTGTTTCACATCAAAACAAAAAGCAGAAATCAACTGGATTCTTAACACAACCCGTGTGTAGCTCTCAGCACCAAGACACAAAGATTTGATGTCATCAGAAACAGAAAACAACAAAGTCACCAAGTATATTCCTTGACCATAATCACTCACAAAACACCATGCATAATACAAGACATATGTTACCATGTTATTTTTTTTTCTAATATGAAAGTAATCTGGGTTTTTATAAAGCATTATTTTGTTGTTAGTCATGTGAATAACAATCAAAGAAACAATGGTTTTGTTATTTACACTATTTACAATAGTTTTTTTTAATCAATTCTGGAAGCGGGTGCAAGAACTGGTTGGGCGCTTGAAAGGGGTGCAGACAAGGAAAATGGTTAAGAATGACTGCCCTATAGAGAAAGATGTCTTATTTAAAGCAGAAGCAGCCAAAATTCTAATTTCTCACCTGTTAAGAGCCCTCTCTGCCAAATCAGCTACTGATGTGCAGCCAAACTGTACTGTTAGTTCCTTTATTGTGCATTTCTGCTGCACTCCTAACAGACTTTCAACAGCTTTCAAGGAATTCAAGTAAGCCTTCTTCGTCAGGCCAGACAGTTTAACAGCAATCATCTGAAAAAAAAAAAAAAAAAAAAAAAGATGCTATTTTTCTTTTTTTAAAAATAACATGAGGGAAGGAAGGGAATCGTGGCTCTCCACAATTTCCTGTCCTTCATAGCTCTTAATAAATTTTGTCTTTGTTATTCCTAAACCTTGTTCTGCCATCCACTTACTCAAGCTCACTAAATATGTTATGCATTGTTTTCCTTTGACTCTTACCTTCAATCTGCCCTGTGAGTATCAGATTTTTCCAAGCCCTTCTTTCTTATGGGCTTGAAAAATTTCAACTTCTCTTCTTGATGTTAAGTATAAGTTTCTTTTTAGTTTCCATTTTCTCTAAAATTTTGTTGTTGATCCCAGGTTTGGACCATGGTATTCTCACTATCATTCTGTAGAACCACATTTCTGTTGCTTCAAGTCTCTCCTTTAACATTTCATATCCTGAAACCTTTTCTTCCATGGCCAATAGCTTAACCAATTCAGTCATCAAATCCTTTCCATACTGTAACGTTTATCCTCCAAATCTTTCATAGCATAAATTTTATTGGCAATGACTAGATATCTGGCTTATATAGCCAAATTGGTTAAGGTTTTGTTTATGAAGGACAAGATTCTGGGATATAGACTGCAATTCATGTTGGTAATTACTTCTTTAGTCTTACTTTATGCTGTGGTAGAATCCTGCATATCCAGAATCCCTTATGTCCGGATCCCTCATATCCAGACATGATTTTGATGTGTATATTTGAACTATTTGGGTGATATGTAACTGATTTAAAATTTCCATTTTTCAGGAAATTTACTTTGGATAATTGCTTATGCTTATTTCACCATAATGGCCTGTAATTGGTGCAAAAGATGATGGGAAGAAGAGGAAAGGATGACAAGACACATCTGCAACAAGATAAAAAGATGTACGATTGTGATGAAACCTGGACTGATATTGAAAAATCTATTGAAGAGGTTGTCAGTTTTATGGAAAGAAAGCCAGTATTCAGCTATGACGATTGCAATAACACACGCAGAGTTAAAAAAAATGTCTTTCTTTTAAAAAATTTCAAGAACAAAAGCAAAACGAAATACGGAAAAAGTTGAGAATGATATTAGAAGAGAAAGAATCATCATGCAACAGTGATTAAAAAAAATCCCCGTTACATTATTTGTTTTGCATATGTGGCATACTTAATTAAATGAATTTTCATTAACATTACATAATTTTTTTTTTTCTCTAAAATCAATTCTATTATATTTCTTCACCATTAGCTTATTTTGTTTACTATAAAACATTGAAAAGAAATGTTAAATCTGATTTCAGTTTTATTTTAATCTAAATATAACCCCTCATATCCGGACTTTGTAACCAATTCTTCATATCCGAAAGGCATTTTAGTCCGGTTGTCAAAGGATTCTACTGCACTTAATGTAATGTTGTTTTGTAAATGTATTTAAACAAAATAAACTTCACAATTTATATATATATATATATATATATATATATATATATATATATATATATATATATATGTAAGACAAATGTAAATGGATATATTTCCAATAGAATGAAGAAAAAAAAAAATTTTAAATGCAATTATGTTGCTTAAATTAAAATCATTTTAAACATAATTGCATTTAAGGTTTTTTTGTTTTTTTTTTCAAAATTTTTTTTCATATATATATATATATATATATATATATATATATATATATATATATATTACTCATCTCGTCATTTTGTTTATTTGTTGTTGTGGTTTTCCATCATTCCATACCTGTGAGCAAATATACCACCCACAACACCTGTGTCCACTATACATAGCCAAATTGTTCCATGTATATTGCTCAACTCTGGTAAGAGTATTTATTGATTCTAAAGGAAGGTTTTTTCCTCCCTCATAAATAGGGAAGTAGGCGTGGTGGTTTGCTATACATTTCTTGTTTGATGAAAAATATTTTTCATAGTAACAATTCCCACTTATAACCTTTCAGTTTAAGACTATATATAGTTTCTCTTATCAATGCCTGGAAAGAAAAATACTGTGCACTTTAAAAAGCAGCCTGACTGAAGAATTCAAATGCAACCCCCCCATCAGATTTCTTCATCCTAAAAAGAAGTCCTGCAGAACTTAATCTCAAGGTGAAAGAAAATGAAATGGATAACTTTCTTTCACCTTGAGATTAGAAGTTACATAGGATTTTCAGGGTGAAAAAAGAGCTTTGTCATTACAACCAGCTGCAACACAATTCTCACCTTATCCAGATGAATACATCAGTATTACAGACACACACATATGTATGTAATATAGATATTATGTAATACTTGGGCAGCAATTTATTTATGTACAGGTTTGGTTAAATGCCAACAAACATTCCTCGTTTATATCATTTTATATTTTTTTCAATTTCTGGTGATTACTAGTAAATAAAACTTCCCTGTTTAAGTACTCCCCAAACAATCCCTAGCCATTTTCAAATATCTATGCTGTTTGCTATCTTGTCATATATATATATATATATATATATATATATATATATATAATATAATTTGAATAGTGACAGATTTTAGAGGTTCCATGTAATAAATTATTTCACCACAGGCTGTGGTGAAATAATTTATTACATGGAACCTTAAATGGTCTGTTTTTATTTAAATTATTTGCTCTGGATTTACATTGAGCTCTCTGGATTTTATCCTCCTTAGGTTTACCCCACAGATTACCTAGGTTTTCATAAACTAATATATATATATATATATATTTTATTACATGGAACCTTAAAGTGGTCTGTATTTATTTATTATATATAAATATATATATATATATATATATATATATATATATATGAGAGAGACTTGTTACATTGAATAATTTAGACAAATTTTTTTCTAATTTTCAACTTGATTCTTTCATATTCTCAGACAAGATTTATATAATAAATAATGAAAATATTTCCTGATAGAATCCCAATAATTTAACTGGACTAATAATTTTTTTTTTTTTCAATTCAGTCCAAGCAATGCCACTTAGATGTGAGAGGCTACAGGGAATGAAAAAGACTAGGAACTGGAAATACAATCCTAAACAGGAAACAAAGGAAAAACCTCTACTCCTGTTCAGAAGACTGTAGAGGAGTGTGAACAAAGCAATAAGCAACTCTATCTACTATTATTATTATTATTACTATTATATGTAATTAATTTTCATGGAAATAATTATTAGAATTTAATTAGATTCAACTGGAAAAAAAAGATAGCAATTGTTTTTACTGTTCCTTACCTTATCTGATTCCTGTAAGTGTTGACTAAGTCTGGTAGCAGCAAGATCAAGGCAGATCACCAATTTGCAAGTTTGGCTCAAGCGTAAAGAAGCAACACTTAGTGCACAAGGTCCACAATCCATCTGTGAACTGTACTCGTGGGCTTGCCTGGAAATTGACATTAAAAATAAATTAAATCCAAGTTACTGCTTGAAAGTTAGAAATAACTTCCTGGAAGTAAAGATAAGCAGAACGACTTTAACATAGCAACCCCCACTGAACACCCTTCCCTCACCATAAAGTTTTGATAATTAAACATCCTCTCCAGTAAGAGTTGGAAGGTGGGGAGATCGATTTTAATGAAAATTAAGGATTATTTTTAATCATTTCACACCAAGCAAGGCAATAAAGCCATTAAGATACAAGGGCTTACTGAGTCTGAAAGAATATAAGAAAAAGCAAACATGAGAGAGATCTATAAAAGAAAATTTATTAAAAAACAGAAGATAACACTTTATCTAAGATTTAATTTGTGGAGACTCCAATATGTATTTGGTTCAAACTTCAGAGGTACCAAAGTATCAGAAATTACTAACCTTACATGTGTATGAATACAATAATAACAAGTGGGCATTATTTTAGTATAAAAGAACAATAAAAATACTATTCTCTACCATTCTTAAAGGTTGTTGTACAAAGACAAGATTCTTGTTACAGTAGTGTACCAAAATTCCAAACTTATAGGATTATATACTTGATTGAATTCATTTTGTCCCAGACAGTATAAAATTAGCCTTGTTCATCTGTTCTACAAATAAATTAGAACAGGAACCAAAAACCATTAAAAAAATAAGTGGTGATAATGGCCATCCTCTGGACATTGTGCAATTTAGCATTAATGTGAAGACTACCCATTTCAACTGACCTAAAACATTTGGTTCTGAAAGATATCTTAATTTCCAGGGATTGGTGGAGTTAATGTGCATTCTACTAAACAAATCTCAAGCAGTGTTAGGTACTGTTTTATTCTCAGCTAATTAACATATTATATTGACTCCTTGATCTATGTTAACATTCATTCAAAAAGATTTTTCTTCTCTTTAAAACCAGCTCCATCATATAATATGAAATTAAATTGGCAGGACAACTCAACTTCTAAAGAGAATTAATCAACACTTGATTTGCATGTGTGTGCTGGAACATCCAGGTCTGAGATTATATATATATATATATATATATATATATACACACACAAAAATTGTTTTCAGATAGAGTGTACCTTTGAAGGACCAAAATGAATTGGAAGACAAGAGGAAAAAAATCCTTATCTGAAGGATTTTGTCCACTGAAGAACTTTATCAAGGCAAATGTAAGATTTATTTTGTTGCAAGTGTTTATATAAAAGAGCAAAGATGTCAGAGGATTATCAAGGATTTTAAATTTGAGAACATTCATGAATATTCATTAGGTGGTTGAAAGGTCAGTCAAAACATATGGAGGACACAAAGTGCCATAATTCAAAATCTGGCAAAAAGTAAGTCATTAAAGAAATGTTAAAAAAAAAGGGGCTAAAACCATTACTTTATGTTTTTGAAGATATACAGCATATTATGTCCATCCCAAACCATAACAATTTGATCACAATTTAATATTCATTTATTAAAAACTAGCAGGAGAGCCCGGCATTGCCCGGGGATGTAACAGTAAGAGAGAGATCACGTATCGACCATCACAAAGACTGAAAAATAAAATTGACAAAGATTATTGTTTAAGGTTGATGGTCACACATGTCTTAATTAGGTTTTTTTTTTTTTTTTACCAAACTCAAACAAAAACATTGTTTTCAATCATTATGAGTCTATCGAATGAATAGAATTTTATTATAAACAATTGTTTTGTAAATGAATTTTTAAAGCATTCTGAATGTAAAAATAAAGAAAAAAGTGTGAAAGACAATAAGAAACACTACCTGCCAAAAAAAAAGTGAAGTTTTGTTGAAATCGGTTGAAAATTTTAGAAAATCCGATTCCATATATAAATGAACACACACACACACACACAACCTTGGCTTTTATAATAACTCGATATGAGTTGTCCCCCTTTCATTTTGGCGACAGAATTGTGTTTTAAAATTGATTTCGTGCAAAAACAATTGCGTTTTTCCAATTTTTGGCGCTGTCAGAACCACTGCAAGGTAATTTTACGCAGTCCTGTGAAGTTTGGTTGAAAAATGTAGGAAATCCGATCCAATATATAAACGTACAGACACACACACAATCTGTGTTTTATAATAAGTAAGATATATATTTCTTGAATATTACTATGTAGATATTAAACAGGATATCACTGCTTTCAATTTCAGGAAACCACCTCACGAAATCACTAATGAGACAAGAAGTTGTGCCTCAAACTCACACCTGACCTCAAGTAAAACTCGTACATATGATCCATTACTAAGAATGTAGGTAAAATGGTTGGCCCTCTGTACCATTCCATTAAGTACCAGACTTCTCCTGCCTCTACATTTACAAGAGCCAGATCAGGACAAAAATAGAGTACTGCTGTCATATTTGGGCAGGACCTCACTCTCTAGCCTTGATAAAATTCAAAAGCATCTCCGAGTCCTTGTGAGGGATGAATTATTCTCCACCTTTCAATCCCTCTCCCACAGGTGGGATGTGACAAGAAGCCTCTCTCTGCTCTACTGCTACTGCCATAGAAGGTGCTCAGACGAACTACATTTCCTGGTCCAGCCAAGGAAAATCTTCACGGTGTTATAGACAAGCGTATGGTTGCAAGAAAGAAATACGACAACAGCAGAAATAGATTTACGTGGTTTACTTCAACAGGAACGTGAGGGTTTGGGACAGCTACCTTGTGGTATAGTTCATAAGTCGGCTTCGGATCTAGGTCGATCTCTCATAGTAGTTCACACATGTTGACGGTGGTTGATGCTCCCCTGCTGACTGCTTGGCCTGACCTTGACATGTCTGTTCCCTGGCCACCTGTGACTGCCCGTTGTACTTCCGTGTGACCCCTTTTATAGGGTTTTTTTATGGCTTAACAGGCTCGAAAAACGAAGTGAGTATAATTAGGAGGGAAGCATTTTTATTGGACGAAAAATAGAGCACTTTAAATATTATTTTATTTTTCAACCGGAACTCGTGTGTCGGGAACATTTGTAAACGAAGATAATGGTCATTTTGTGATGGGGCTTTGTCCCGTTCACATCCGGCTCTCGCTCTTGAGTATTTGCCTGTAAATCAGCCGAGATACGTCTTATTTTATTTTATAACAACGGCAAGAACATGCCATGCCACTTACATAGTAACAAACCACACACATTCCCTCCATACTCCATCGACGAGATGTTCCACTTAAGCAGTTTCTTCCCGCAAACCACTGCCCTGGAGAACAGATTCCAAACAGGATGTTTCCCCGATCACTACAATAACTTATTCAAGGCTAGGGTTAATTGTTATTTTCCACTTTTTAGTGAAACCCGGATATAAGAGATGACTTCTCCGGTCCCGACAACTGTCTTATATCCGGGTTACACTGTACACACAAATGGTCTCCAAACGTAATCCTCTACATCGTGTGACCCTCGAACTTTGTAACGGGTTAGTGAACCTCCTTATAAAAAACAAAAAAAAAAAACTCAAATTGTCGAAGTTCACTTGTCTTAGAAGCCTAACTGTAGTAGTCTTCATTCTAAGGCAGATTCCCCCACCCATCAAATACTGCAAAGTTTACATTACCTTTGTTTAGCAAAACAAAGACGTTTGATGTGGTAAGAAGCGGGTCAAATTTTGGTTACCCACAAAAAAGTTTCTCTCTCTGGTCACACGGCCCCCATCACGTGCAACTTGGGAGTTAAACAAAGCGTTGTTCTTCCACAGGGTCTGCCAATTTTTACAAGATTCTCATTACATTAAATAAATATTGCCGAGTTTTCTCGAATGAAAATACTGCCTTTGTAGTCCATATGTGTCTTGAGAAATCATTTCAACGTCTCAAGCTATGAGTCGGTTTAAATAAATTATTGCAGAAATAACATTTTTCAATAACTATTTTTACCAAATTGGGGTTTGTTTAGTTTACAAGTGAAACAGCGATCGGCCAGAAATGGGTTAAAAATCACCCTTCATCGGAAATAACTGCAGTGAAATCGAAGAATAATGTTTTAGTTTTAGAATTAGTTAACATTTTGGTTTTGTTTAAATCCTTAGGTCCTATCTCTAAGGTTATGTATCGTCTTTAGTTTCAACCCGTTGGGCTGAAAATCTGATAAAGAAACATAAATTACTGTTATTATTTAAATAACATTTGATTTCCGTACTTTTGTATTATAATAAAAATACATTGAGTAAAATTTGCTTATTTTTAAAGTGGAGTCTCCAGTTAATTTTCATTAAACTTTATCAGCTTCAGATCCTTTAAAGATGATTAATAAAAGATCCGAAGACAACCTCAAGTTAAAAGAAAAATTGCTAACAAACATAGAAGTGATCCTGGTTGGAAATAAAACTTTTTTTTTTGGGTTGGCCAAAAAAAAAAAAAAAAAAAAAACACTTAAGACGAGAACGAACTTTTTGACCAACACAATAGAAACGATTTTTTATAAGTGTTTCTGAAACTTGCGTGTACCTTTTTTTTTCTTTTAATAGAATAGTAATTGAGAAAGTACAATTTATAAAATAAATAAAAAAATCTTTAAAACTAAGTTTGCATAAATCGTTTAGTGCAAATTTATCAACTCGATTGGATGTCATCATCGATCTAGAACTTTTATTTAAATAAAATAAAAATGTGCAGTTTCTTTTTTTTATAAACAAAATATTGATTTTAGAAATCAAATTTACTATAAAAAATCTGGCAGGTTTAATTTTTATTAAAAAAAAAAAAAAAAAAAAAATCAAACAAAATAATAAAAACATCCATATGGTTATTTTCGTTAATTTCTTTAAGTAATAAACGTACAAATCTTGAATGCATAAAATTTTGACAAAAATAAAAATGTTATTTTTCAAAATTGACTAATTGATCTGATATTAATAAACAAATACAAAATAATGATAATTTTTTTTAGCTTCTTGTCTAGACAAATGACGAATTCGTGTTGATGTGGCATTGAAATTCAAAGTACTCTGTCTTTTTAAGTTGTAAATTTTTAGAGGAACATATTTTTAGGAGTGCCCACTTCAAACAAATCGGGATGGGGGATACTAATTTAAATAATAAAAAAAACTCTATTACAAACAATTTATATCGAAAAATAAATATAAACAAGTTAAACATCAAAGACAAACACAGCAAAAGAAAATTATTACCATTTTTATTTTTTAGGGAGACATACGAGTGTTATTTTATTAAGGAAATTAAATAGTTCGACTTACTTTAAAATTGGTACATCAACTAATCCAAGTTTTGCTCCAAGATCACGAAGCATTTTTGTAGCCATCACTCAGTCTTCTTCAGCCAGAAAAAATATATCTCTTTCTATGAAAATGCCGACTGAAGTAAAACACGATGCGTAATTCGCGCGCAATATTGGATGATGGGGGAAATGTGGGTATAATTTTAACTTACTTAAAATTATTTGATTTTTTTTAAATGAATACTATTTCTTATATAAGTGTCTTAAAATATGTTAGTAGATATGTATTATACAAAAAAAATCTGTAGATATAGTTTAGAATATAGTCTAACCTTTTGATGTAATCTCGTTTGGCCGAGATTGTTAATCACATGATATCATCATGGTGGGTGTTGTTATTTCGATGTTTTTCTATTTCGGCTTGTTTACTTGTGTTTTTGCATATGAATTTCGATTTTATATTCTCCGATTTCTTGCTTGACATTTTTATGTGCTTTTAATTCTTATTACCTCTGTTTTTGCCATTCTTAATATGGAATTTGATGGCCAGTTTGCCTTAACTTAATCCTCAAACCTGTGATCTTCACTTTTTAGTACTTTAAAATACACACACACCCACTTTTTCCCCCTTTTCGTTGACAATCTTTCGTTAATCATTTTTTTTTTGTATTTAATATCTTTTTTATTGAGTCGCACACATGAAAATACCTGATTTTATATTTCCGAAGTAAAACCTATTATAATACTATTCTTAAAATTTAACTTGACTTAACCTTTTTTAATTTATTTGCGAAGTCTCTTAAGAAGAGTAATAGAAAGTAAGAGGCTAGTTTTAGTTTGTCTTTAAGTTTTAAATTTATCACAATAATGAAATCTTAATTCGTGCATTTTTAATAAATTACTTAAACATTGTCTTATTTTAAATAAACTCTGGGCAACCTTTAAAAAATTAATTCTTATTGCATATATCTTACTTGCGTTGTGCATTAGACTTTTAAAACTTTTGACAGCATCACTGTGTCAGTCAGTGCAGTCATTTTTATTCGCCAGTAAACCAACAAAATATGTAATAATTTTTAAAAAGTACTTTTCTTGGGTAGTATCTGATGTTTCACTTGATGTTTAAGCAAAAAAGGATCATATAAAACCTCCTCCGCTTGTTTACTGCACGTTTTACAATATAGCGGTTACGTCACCAGACAATCCCACTTCAATTCATACAATTTCATAACATAATTGCCATAAAAACGGATTTTTCTATATTTTTCTTTTCTTGATGTGTAAAAATGCCGTAAAAACATTAATTTAAATAATGATCAATATGAAAGAATATAACTACAATGAAATTTTCCTTACGTTACTTCTGTTTTATATCCTTCAACAGCAACATCACGATACACATTTTTTTTTTTTTTTATAGAGAATGTTAAATTTTTTTTACTCCCTCATGCGATAATGGTTAAAAAAAACTGAGGTAATATTTTAAAAACATTTTAATTTTTTTAAAGAGTCTTTCTAGTAAAATGCAATCTTTATTTTTTAACTACATTGAATTGTAAATTTTATCTCTTTGACCTGTTTAAAGGCTAACGCTAAAATCGCATCTTCGTTAATAATATCCTTTTCTCGGTACATGTGTTTGTATTATTCTGGTTGGTAAAATAAAAAATAATTATACCAACCCTAATTAGTGACATTAGTACCGTCTAGTTTTTATTTTTTAACTTCATTTAAAAAAAAAAAATAGATCACTTATTGTGACAGCTGTTGTGTGCATTTTTTACCAAATATTTTGTCAAAATTGACATATTTCTGATTATTCATTCTAATATTGAAAAGAAAAATGGAACAAAATGTTTTTTTGTTTTTTTTAAATCGACTGAAAAAATCGTGCAGTTTATTGAGTAGGTACTGTAAATCTGAAATCAGCATCATTTCTAATTTTATCGAAAGCTGTTTTTTTTTTTTTTTTTTTCATCCAAAGGCAGCAATGCTCAAGTCTGGTGCTTTAAGGTCATTTGGGGAGGCCACGAGTAAGAACTTGCTCACTAAAAATTAGTTCACATCATTTTCGGTTGGGGGGTGCAAATGATCATCTGTTGACCATCTCCTCCACCACCACCTGGTGACGAGAATGGGAATGCTGTGTATATATTGGAATGAAGTTCTCTACTCTGAGCTCTTTCTGTTTTTCACCAATGATTGATTCAAATATGCACTGCTCTAAAAAAAAAACTGATAGCAGCAATTGATGAAAAGCATAAATTTAGCAGAAAGCGGGCATAATATTCCATCAGAATAATTCTAGCTTGGATATTTTTTGGAGAACCAAGTAAAATTTGTTACAACTTGGATAACAAGTTTTCAGCAGATGCTTATCTTTGAATTAACATTTATTTGGTTTTCACAAAAAAAGGCATTTTTTCTCAAGAGATTTGTCACAAATGTTATTAATATATATGTGTAATACACACACATTGTGTATACTCATTTTTTTTTTTTTTTATACTGATCATTTCCAGTTGTCTAATCAGTTTCTTGATGTTATGATGAAATTCATCAAGGAAGGCACATTATACTGAACTGCTTGATTTGTAAAAAATAATTACATAACTACAATGGATAAATTTAAAATAACTTTCACAGTGCATTCACGCATGTTTTAAAAATTACTATGATGACAAAATGCAGATTTTATCGCAGTTACAATATACTGTTTTTGTAATTTACCCCTGAAGGTGATCTTAGAAAAGGTCAAAACTATAATAATCAATAATGATCAAACAGTGTCATTAGAAAAATTGATTTTATTTTGACCAAATCTGTATTGGTGAGAGTAACCATATATAGATTTGACTGAAATAAAATCCATTTTCTGATGATGCGGTTGGATCAGGAAAACATCAGTTAAAACAAGAGTTCTCCAAACTGTCTCTTATATTTACCATTCCATCAGATTCTAATCTAAATTGATTCATTAAAAGACTGCAGGTCGGACCATAGTCATTGTAAATTTGATGATCCTTTCGCTCACTGCATGGTATATGCTTTGTTAAGACTACATACAGTTTTGAATTCAGAGTTTTTCTTTTCACAGACTGGCAGCCAATAAAAGCTGAAGAGCCCTGTCTGCCATACTATTTAACCCATAGCTGGGGTGGGAAGAAGGGAGTCTTGTATTTACCCAGAAGTATTTGTACAAAAGTGAATGTAATGAAATTCAACTGGATTTCTAACTCAACTCTTAGATTTCTTGTTCTGAGCTACTAGACATTATACCTGCTGCATATCCATTTTTAGCAAATAGTAAACCATTATTATTTTACTGGGGGTAAAGTGACAGCAAATCTTTTCAATATTCCATTTTTTATGAGAGAAGTGACAAGAAGTTTCAATACTCCTGATTTTAGTAATGCTGTTGTAAGGCTGCCTTATTTACATATTTACCAGCATTAAAATCGTACTTTTCATTAGTTACTTGCATATTTCACCACATGAGTTTGAGTTCTGTGTTCAAACACCGGTAAAAGCCAGAATTCCAACTGCAAATTTTTAAAGACCTGCTTTATCCACTTGACTTGAAAGATTTGATACAGCATGTCTACTACACCCTTCTCTACTATTTATACCAAGCAAAACTTAATTACCAATCACCTTTTTTTTTCTTTCTTCCCTTTTTTTTTTTTTTTTTTTGGTGGAGATGGGGAAAAAACTAAAAGAAAATGACATACCAGAGGACTGTCCCACCCAGGATGCACCCTACTCCATGAAAGTACCATGAAAAGTGAACAATTTTTGTTTCTCTATACCAGAGGTTCCCAATCTTGTGTTATCACCCACATTTCCACCACTCACCTGTATAGTAAATATTCAGAAACATACAGTGACAGATAAATTATGTTTTGACGGGTACTCTTTTCGTGCCTTGATAAATTCAAGATGGCCAATGTAATAAAAAATGTGAAAACAATTTTATATTAAGTAAAAAATTATCTTGAGGTCACTTCTTAATTTTACTGGCAAAGTTGTTCTTGGTCTTTTCTTATCTGATTTATATCCAAAAAAAAAAAAATGTTATTTCATCTGAATAACTATCTGAATGTTAATAACCCATCTCCAAACTATAGAAAAGAACAATATTCCTTGTTTGCAGTGAGTGGGGCTGATATTTATATCTTATCTAAGAATGGGAACCAGTTATTCCTATTTAAACTTTTTTTTTTTGGTTCTCTTTTGAATTTTTTTGAGGGGATAGCATAAGTTGAAATACCGTTTTAATACTCCAAATCCTATATTGCCTTCCATTTTCTGTTCAGGTGCTCATCACCCATCCAACAGTTGAAATCGCCCTGGTTGGTAAAATCTATTCTATACACATGATTTTATTTTTCTCCTTTAAATTTCACCTTCTGTTGTGCATGTGATTGTATATATTAATAAAGAAAATGTGCTCTCTGGCAGAGCTCAAACTTGTGTCCCTCTTTGTAGGAAAACTACTGTTTGATCTGTTGTTCTCCTACAATGGGAGACCCAAGTTCAAACCCTGCAGGAGAACACTTTTTTTTTTTGTAATTAAGATCTTTTGAGTGTGCAGGCTGATAGATGCAATATACACCATTTTTTATATATATATATATATATATATATATATATATATATATATATATATATTGATAATATTAGTGGTAAATGTACACATACATATGTAATCATATATCTTAAATGTATGTGTGTATGTCACCACAAAATGTATTCTTTCTGGTTACATCTTTAATGTTTTAGACATCCGAGAACATTCATATTTCTCTCACTTTAACTGTCTTTGACTCTCCTCTTTAAAACTTCTCTCTGTTAAATTTTAATTCCCCCCCTTCATCTTTAGACCTTCCTGTTCCTCTCCTGTTCTTCTCTCGTCTGTTATCCCTCTCTATAGCTTTCTTTTACTCTTAACATTCGTCCCACACTCTCATACATACTCTCACTAAATTTTATTTTTTATTCCCAGAGTTGGTTTTTCTGTTTTTTCTTTTTGAATTTGTAGGTCTGATGAATTGGATCATATTTACGATTCCAATGGGATAAATTATGACCATGGAATATTAGTGTTTAAGCCTTTTTATTATATATATATATATATATATATATATATAGTCTGTAACTTCTGTTAGTCCGTCTGTCACACCCTCTAAAATAAAAATACATTGCCTGATCAAAACAAAATGTTGGGGAGAAGTGCAAATTAGTAAGTGGGTACAAAGTATAGTTGGTTTTATTAGTGTGTGTAAAAACTGCGAAATAAGGTTTTTGTATTTTTCCAACAAATCAGCTTATTCAAATTTCATTGATTAGTTTGCAAAATTGAATGGAACATAGATTGTAAATCTCGAAAAAAATGTTAGTGATAACTTCAATGTTACTAAATACTTTGAGGGTTTCAACTTGCGCCAATGTGTTTCAAAAAATTCTAGTGTGTGTGTGTGTATATATATATATATATATATATATATATATATATATATATATATATATACACACACACCTTGCTAGGACTACAAACCAATTTTGAGTTCAGATTTGTCATTCTCCTAAACTGGTTGATTTATTTATGGCTCCAGTTCTCTTGGGCAGAAGATTCTGGGAGGAGAATAGGTTTATACTTTCCTCAAGGGTATTTGTATGAATGTGAATACAACAAACTTGGATTTCTGATTTCTCTTTCTAACCTGATAACTGTTCTACTACTCTCACATTCATGAGAATAAAGACAACTACTAATAGTAAGTTAGGTTGTGTCTTAAAAGTGAATGCGTATTTTAGAGTTGTGCAACTCACAAAGAGCTTATTTAATCATTAAGAATAATGATTCATCAAAAAAAATTCAAATTTTCATAGGTACTGCTAGTATTTCTCTATCTGTTAGTATGACCTACAATAAGCTACTAACTTCAAAAAAACATGCTCTGTGGTGGATATATTTGTACCAGGTAGTTTTATTTTCCTTTTAAAACGTTTTTCTACCATTCTTCCTACAGCCTAAGTTTAAGGGTTTTTTGTTTTTTTTTTTTGTTTTTTTTTTTATAAGATACTATTGCAATATGAAGGCCAGGAAAAAACAATCATGACATGTATGAGTGTTTATAGACTTTAAACGTGGCAAAACAGGCTCATTATTGATTTTTATTTATTTTTTCTTTTCTATTAGTGATTATGAAAGAAGCTAAATTCTAGACAGCATAATGCTTAATTTAAAAATATAACACTCATTTTTAGCTTTGTGGTTTTCAACCATTTTATATTTATGCACCCTTTTTACCATATGCTATTGCCTCCATTCTAAATTGTTGTAGATGTGAGGGAGATGTAACCGATAGTGGTTCAGAATCAGAAAACAGAGGGCTGAGTTCAAATTCCAGTTGAGTTTGTAACATTTGCTTACACACAAATACCCTTCAGAAAGGTATTAATCCATCTTCTCCCCCAGCTATGGGTTAAATAGTAGGACGTGTATTTAGAAAAATAAATGCTATTCTCAAAAAAATTGTTAATGCAATATTCACTTGCAAAAAAAAAAAAAAAAAAAATTGCAATCCAAAACATGTTTTAGCTTTAAATAAACCACAAAGGGTTGATAAGCCATAAAAAAAATCTCAATCAATCCAAAATTATCTGACTGTAAAGGTGCATTGTAGGAGTGTAGATAGATCAATATATAAACTAGTTGAAGTTGCCAATTTTTAGTTGCAATTAAACTTTGAAATCTTAAAATCCTCCCTACTGTTTTTCAGGGTTTTTTTTTTTGTTTTTTCTTAAGAAAATAGTTTGCAAGCCAAATTAAGATTAATAAGTGATTGTAATTTTATCCTTTGAAATCTACCATAAAACATAAAAGGGGATTTTCTGTATTATTGGCAATCCAGCTGCCACAATCATCTTGGATTTTGTTAAACAAGCATTTTTAATATTAAATATTTGATCAAGTAATATTATTGGAAGAATTCTATGAAATAGTAATTGGATGGAGATTTCCACCATTGCAGTTCTATAGCTCAAATTTAACTGAAATTTCTGCTAAACATTTAATTAATCTCTTCTTTTACATTTGTATATAATTCCCCACCAAACAGATGTAGCCATAACCATAAAAAATGACTTAGTATCAATAAAATTTTGTTCATATTAGGAACAGGCATACTCATTATTTAACTAATAATTTAAAAAACTAAAACATCACAAACTGACACAAAGACTGAACATGGAAAATGATTGACAGAAAAAAAAAATGAACATTCTCCTGTTCCTGGAGATGTGAAAACTTGAATCTCTGCAAAGTTTTGTTTTTTTTATAGAACAGCTTTATTTTTATAAATAGTACAGTTTAAATATTTTATTAAAATATACTTTTAAAAATGGTTGTTATGCAAATTAAATATTACTGTTTATGTTGTAAAAGCAATCTTTTATATAATATGGATCTGTTGGATTTCTTAGGGATGTCTTTTTTTTTTTTTTTTTTTTTTTTGAAATATTTTAGGAGCTTTTTGCTTCGTGTTGAATATGAAATAATTAGGCTATTGGAGGAGGTTAAAAATTATTTTCAATGTATTTGTTCTCTTCATGTAAATACTAATGGCTACAAATTCTGAGTGCTCTTAAATAGAATCCAATAATTATTCCAGATTTTATTTTGCTCTTACGATGAAAATAGAAATTTATGAAATCCTTTTTTTTTTTTTGTAGTTGATTTTTGATGGATACTTAGTTTTAGGCTATTGTCACTGCAGTGTAACATGGTTTCTAGGAATGGCTCATAAAATGTTTAGAAATAGAAAATATATGCATACACAAACAATAACGGCATCCCAAATTTCCACAAACTGGTTCTATAAAGGCAGGTAATTTTTAGAAACCTATTCTGCTTATTTTCTTTTCAATCTGAGAATGGAAACATCATTTTATAGTATCAAAAAGAATTAAACCATTTTGATAATTTAATAGAAAACTTATTTATTAAGATGTTTCCAAATTGAAATTCCGTTCTCATCATATTTCTGTCCAGAAGTCTGATGCTTTTTGAATCTAGTGTCATCAGCTGCATTATGTTTACTTAGCTGCATTCAAAGTGAATCACTGCAACCCCAAAGATCCAATGACCTATCAAATTTATGACTAGAAGATTTGCTACATTTTTAACTTCAAGACGATTTCTTTTGTCAGAATAAATTATGTTCATCATAGAAAACTCTTTTTCAGACTTTGCAGAACTTACAACAATGGTATTAATTATATTTTTAGCTATAATATATTGGCTAATCCAACAATCAGTTCGCTAAGCTTTTATAGCTTTAAGAATCAGTTTGTGTGAACCAGTATGATGCCACCACTAATATATATATATATATATATATATATATATATATATATATAACTGGAGAAATACCTGCTACCAAGGTATAACTAACTTTGAAAAGAATTGCCTCCACTATCTGAGAGAATTAAGAATTAACACTAAATCTCAGGCTAATACATCAACCCATGTGATGGCCAACCCTTCAGTATACCCTTCATGTGGATTTGTTTGCAAATCCCGTGCAGGATTGTTATCTCATATGAAACATAAAAACTGAGCTGAAAGACACTCATACATCGTAAACGACAAGAGTCCATCATATATATATATATATATATATATATATATATATATATATATAAGCTGATAATGAGTTCATTATATGTTAATAATGAGCTGAGCTGTTTTGTTATACTGATGTTAGATAGGGCCATACAGAATTTAGCCATATACAAATTTATGAGAGAGTCAAGGAACAAATTATTGAATGTTATTTTTTTAAACATTTGGATCAAAGATAAAAAAAAAAGATGGCATTAATATTTATTTGGTATCTCTTGACAGACCTCCAAAGCAAGAAAACCTGGAATGTCATTTTGATGCATATAAATGTAACCATTTATTTTAGATTCTAATTTCTCTTTTTCAGCCATCGACTCCGCAGTTGTCACCTCAAGAGGAGCAGGAAAAGCTGCTAGAGGAGGCCACCAAAGTTGTCAAGAGCCAATCCTTTCAAATGAAAAGATGCCTAGTAAGTAATTTCACTATTCTTAATGTTTATAGAAGTTTTGTTTTAGATTAAGTCACGCGTTTATTGTCAAAGTAATATTTGTGAAACTGGTTGTAGGTTCAGTTTTGATAATCATTTAGTTTTAAAGGCCTCACCATGATTTAACGGTCACCAAGCTAGTCTCTCTAAAAACTACTACTGTGTCGAGATTGATCTTCACTGGGTGCTCTACTGTTGTTTTTGTGCTGTATTAAGCTAAGTTTCAGTATCCCAAACTGTTGATGGGGGTGTCTGAAGGAATTAGTTTATCTTTGAGTCTGTACCAGTGAAAATTAAAGGAAAATTTGAGAATGAAATGTTTCAGCAAAAATTTGTGAATTATTTTCAACCCTATAGTTCCTTTCCTACAGATGAAACGTTACAGGCCTATTGGTATTTCCATGGTAAATGTCTGGATGAGTTACATCCCTTAGTTCCTCCAGTTCCTGAGCTACCATACCACATCCATAGAGTTGAATCATCCTCAGTTCCTTTGTATTCCATTAGTAAGTTGGAAATTTTACTCAGATAGCTTCTTCCTAAGAACAGCTTCTTTGTGGAACATTCTCCCTGGAGGATTCTTCCCTGATTACTACAATCTTAACCTCTTCAAGTCAAGGGTCAGCTGTTATCTATTCTACATATCCTCACAATGTGCACTTACTTCCTCTTCTTACATCCATAAAATGAACTCGCTCAGTAACCTGTGGCTCTTGGGCCTCATATTGGATGAACATTTAGTAAAAAAAAAAAAAAAAATTGCTCAAGAATTTAAAAAAAAAAAAAAAAAATCTTGGGATTTGCAGTTTGCAGGAAGAAGCTGTTAGAGTGGAACTTATTTCTCACAGACGGAATATGGAGAGAAGGTGGGTGGTTTGCTACTATGTGAGTGTCATGGTGGGTCCTAGCCATGAAGATTAGACCTGGTGGAACCAAGAAATGTAGTTCGTCTGTGCATTTTCCTTAGAAGTAGCAATAGAGCAGTAAGAGGCTTACCACATCCTTCCTGAGGGTGGAGGGTGAAAAATATTGTCTCCCACAAGGACTCAAAGATACTTTTGAATTCTATCAAGACTAGAAAGTGAGGACTGGGTAGCTCCCACCCAAATATGACAACAATACTCCATTTTTGGCCTGATCTGGTTCTTATAAAGGTATAACATAAGCAGTTAGGTTGTTACTGGAGTGGTACAAGGAGCCTATCATTTTACCTGCATCTTTAATGATGGATTTACTTTTAGATATTTATTGCATTATTTAACGCTTTCACTGCTACAATTTTGCAAGGATGTGCTGACACATTTTGGGTCAAAATAGAAAATTGACACCTTCTGGAAATAAACGACTATAGGGATACTGATATCAGTTTCTCATGGGAGCCACTATTATGGTTTTGATAGATTATTCTGCAGACTAAACAACATAACACCTCCAATGAAGAATATAATAAAAATATTTCGAAAGGTCATGTTGTATAGTACTATATGTCTATGGAAGTTAAAAGGTTGTATGTTGGTGTATTATAATGTGGGTGTGTGTTCACATGTAAACAAATAAACGCTTTCTTCCCTGGGTGTCCAGTTTGATGACTGTCCTAAGCATCATTCTGACATTACTTCCCTAAGCCCAGTAGTAAAAATTGATAGTTATTTAACATGCCCATACAAAAATTACTCTAAGTTTATAAATAATAAAGATAAATGTATGAGATTTTCAAGGAATATTCCAAAATGAATTTAATAAATTATATTAAAAAAAAATTATCAGAATTACAGTTTATTGAATCATGTAGACAATTTAATGCAATAAAATAAAAGCAAAACATGAAAACAAATTATTTTCTGTAAGTATCAACATATGCATATATCAGGAAGTTTGCTCAAATAAGAAGAGGGAAGTGTTCAAGATGATATGATTTGAAATAATTGATGTAGTGGTTCACTTTGCACTGTTCACATCCATCAAATCAAACAGTTTGGGATTAAGTAGTTGAAAGAAAAAGTCTCTCTTTCTTCTTTGTGTCTAGAATATTTACTGGTCCGGGATTTCCTCTGAATGTGTCAACATTGATTCCTGAAAATTGATTGGTCCATTCCAATGTTGGATCATCATCTTCACCATTGTTGTCTTGGTTCCAGGTTAAATTGTCAGCAATACATCATTATCAGAGTCAAATTCTGATATTACATCAATATCTGAGAAATTCTCTTCATTTTCCACATATATCTCATACTATCTTTGTGTTTCAACTTCATCTATTTCAGTTAATCCTTCAAAAATATCATCATTTTCACTGTCGGATGCATAAAACTTTTCATTTGAAAAATAGTTTAGTTCTCTCATAAATCTAACTACCTGGTTGCTAAAATTATTTATAAAGCATTCCCTGATTGGTTCAAACTAAAAAATAGCTTCTGAAATTATCCAATCATAGAGCATTTTACATCACAAATGAACATGCCAGAAAGCATGACTTCAGATGTGATCTGACTACAGTTTGGATTTGACTCTTAATTAATTTTAATATCACAACTAAAGTTGGGATCAGTGGGGGAAATAGTTAAAGAAGCATACAAAACTACAGACTGTTTATTCTTTTTTTTTTATACGTAAACTGTAGTGAAAGTTCTCAATGTCTCTTTGGTATTTCTGTTTTTCTTTTTGGTTCAAGAGTTAGGATAGGTAAGATAAGCATTGTTATAATAGTTGAGGTCAAGACAGCCTTGTGCTGAGTTGGAACAATAAATGAAAAGTTGTATTTACTTCATCAGTACTTATACTGGTCGAGCTTAAGTTAGTTTTGCACTGAGTTGGAATGACCAAAGTAAAACTTGTCTTACTTCATTAGTGAAATTTCGGCAAAACGTGTGAATGCTGTATGTTAGAAAGTGGAAGAGTTTCTTTTCTGGTACAGAAGTAAGCTCAAGCAAGTAATGATAAACATGCTTATAATGGTTGGGCTTGTCAACCTTGTACTGAGTTGGAACAACCAAAGAAAAGGTTGATTTACTTCATAGTTGGAGGCTTTAGAAGAACAAGACTTATCCAAACAGAATAACTGAAAGTTTTATAAGATCAGCGCTCCGTTTATGTACATCGTCTTTGTCATGTTGTATTGATAATGTTATAATTTATGAATATGTCCTGAAGATGGTTTATCAGACCGAAACGTCCGACGTTGACATATTAACATTAAAACAGCATCATTGTATATAAGGATTTTTGTTTGTTTTTTCCGTATATATTTTTCTTCATACTGTCGGATCTATATCCATATATTTGCTTACACACACACACACATATATATATATATATATATATATGTGTGTGTGTGTGTGTATTCAGAGACAGCCTGAGGAATTGAAAAGCAATTAAATTTAAGTAGCTCATTTGTTAATTTTGAAATCATTTTTATTTCATATTGTGGTGTAAATAGCCATAATGTAGTGTAATTGACAAAGTTCTCAATAAGAAAAGGAAGAAAAGGAATGGAACAAATAATAAGCAAACAATATATAAGCAAGTCAAAATTAAGCAAAGCAATGGTAATAAGGCAAAAAGGCAAATGATTATAGTGTTCTGACTTAGACAAGAACAAAAATATGGCATATGAGGCCAAGAATTGGTCTCTTTTCATTGTTTTAGGAAGAAATCCCAGCATACATCTGTAGAAATTGTCTATAAATCTTTCCCCAGGATTTGAACAATCACTTATAATTTATTAATGTTATATTGCTCGGTGTTTTATTTTGGATCACATTGAGTACTTTTCTCAACTTGTAAAATTGTTGAGGTGGTGGGGTTAATCAATGTCACTATTAGTGCTATTTATTAAGCTTGTTCAGGTTGGTTAATGGATCAATAAGTCTGCGGCCTGTAGTGAGTAACTGAATTTTGATGCGAAATTTCCGCATTTAATGTTTGATCTACGTGATTAATATTTACTGCTGAATTAAGTGTATTGACAAGGAGAGTGTTGAAAAAAAAATATTTGTATAAAATAAATGCTTTTTATCATTATGCAACAACAGGTGTGTGCATGTGTATATGTATTTTTTTTTTTTTTTTTTTTTTTGTAATATGAGTTTCTATCTTTGTTCAAATATTGCATTTTCATATCTTTTTTTTTTTCTTTAGTAATATCAGTTTTATTCCTCCCCCCCCCAAAAAAAAAATATCACATTTTCACATTGTTTTTTTAGAGTATTACATCTCTATAGCACAGTCACTTTATCTACAAAAACTCTTTGATATGGGCATATGAAATCCAAAAGTACTATTAAATCAAACAAACAATTTATATTCAAATTTTTGCCAGAAAATGACTTGAAATATTGGGGAAAAAAACAATTTCCATCCATTAAACAAAATTTGTATAGAGCAAAGATTACTTCCCCCAATAAACTACATATATATTAAGAATAAAGATATTTTTGTTCCTCATCATGGCTATCACAGCATATCTGTTTGGGCTGAAATATTGAGTTTTTGCTTTGTTTTTTATACTTTTAATACTGCTAATATGATATAAGTGAGTTTAATTTTTCATGCTAAATGTTTTTTCTTTTTTCCAGGACAAAGGCAAACTAATGGAAGGCCTAAAGCATGCTTCCAACATGTTAGGAGAATTAAGGACTTCACTGCTGTCTCCCAAGACCTACTATGAACTTTGTATCCTTAGTGTCTAGAAAAATTCCTTTTAAAAATTCAGTGTTGATTTTCATTTGAATTCTTGTGATTAGAAATCATAATTATTAGACACTTTCTAATTTCTTCCTCCACTCAGTTTTTATTGTTATGATTACCATTGGACTCTCCACCTTTTCCTATAGTTGGTAACCTTCCAAGTATTTTGAACCAAATCCTTTATTCAATCCACAGCAAATACTAAACTCGGTACTGCCACAAAATCACTAAAAGATCAGCAGACCATGATGAAAATATGATCTAAACATAGTTTTATCGTCAAAATCTTTGTTATTGTTAAGAGTAAAGATCAAAGTATTTTTTGAATATTTTCTTAAATCTTTAAGATTATCAAATACTTAAAAAGTGTTTGCATTATATTCCTCAATTATTTTTTTTAAGATTGTAGAACAACATTAGATAAAAATCTGTCATTGAACTGTTACGAAGGTGTTAAAAAGCTGTTAATAAATAAACAAGCTATTGTCGTGTTGAAAAATGCATTTCTGTGATAATTTAAAAAAGATAATAGTTGTTTCAAATCAGATTAATTATACTTTAAATCACCTAGTATTCTTCAAATAAAGTTTCAGAAAAGTATATTTTATTTTTGGAAGATTTTTTTAATAAAGAGATTTACATTTTTATAAAACTTTGCTAAAAATGGCCGGAAATTTAAAAATTTTAGTAATTTCACAAAAAAACTCCTTCCAATCGATTTAAATTAGTTTTGAAATACAGAATAGTATTTTGCTTATTGGAAATATTAAATTTAATCTCTCAGCTTGAAATTAAAACTAAAATAAAAGCATGAAGAAAGATTTTTCATTATTAAAAATTCATTTTAAATGTTAGGTATCGTGTTTTTGTGGTGGTATCTATACTAAACATTCTAAACCCCACTCAGTGTATGGATCAGTTATAACAAATTTAATATAGGAGAGAAGGAAATTGAATATAGGCTACACTAGAAGTTTTGCCCAACACCACAAATTGCTTCAAAACCAAAACATTGACCTGAAAGCTTGGATCATGTTCTTAAATAGCCTCATTAGATTAAGACTTTCATATGTTTGTCATGCATGTCACCAAACCTGTTCAGAAATATGTAAGCTGTCAACTATATACAACAGCTTTTTCAGATCACTGGTTAAAAATGTCTTGAATGAAGCCTGTGGATCTTGGCAAACATCCATACTACTTTGAACATTGTGGACTGACGCTACATAATCACAAACGAAGAACTGTACTGAATAACAGAAACCACATCACTTGCAAACTTTCAACAGCAGCACATGTAACTCAAAGAGAAAATAATTTATCAATGTTTATTCTTTACATTTATAAAAAAGAAAAAAAAAATTTAGAGTTTTGCCTTTTTAATTTTAGTTAAAACCTGAAGGAGGAATTTACTCTATTACCTGTAATAATTGCCACAAGGAGTCCATCAGAAAAACCTCAAGAAATTTAAATAAAATATTATATGAACACAAAAGGGATTTTTTTTACAAAACAACACATTAAATGCATTAGTTGCTCACCATAATGAGACTGACTACAATTTTAATTTAAAAATGTTACTCTAATTAAAAGAGAAATCATTTTATTAAGATGAAAATGTTTAGAAATCACAAGATCATTCACAGTAAATTCGCGTCCAGATTCTTGCAATATTTCACCTTTCTTGGCAGATCTTTTATTATCACAATATGGAATTATTTAATAACAAAAGTGATAGAAAAAGAATCTAAATGAAATTGGCTAGATTATATACCCAAAACATATATTAAAAACATGTTATTAAATTCTCAGCATCTCTCTTTCATTTGTGTGCATGTGTACTTAATCCAAATGGATGAAACGTGTCACACAAAAACTTTTTCCACTTTTTCATACTTCTTTCTCATACAATGATAAATATAAAATAGTCTGTTCAGAAATTATTCAGCAATTTTTTTAATATCTTGAGAACCAGTTGTGCAGCCTTGATAAAATTTGGCAACCAGTTAAAGAGGATATCACTGTATGCATGAAAGACCAAGAAAAGCAGTTTCTTCATGGATTGAGGTTTTTGGCCAAAACATTACATCACCAAGGGATGTAAGCTCACCAGATTTGGTTACATGTAACTCCTGGCTTTTGCTGAAGAAGAATACTATAATCCCCAAAATGAAATGGCTGGAAATCATCTGGATTAAAGAGAAGGTAGCACAGTGATAATGGTGATTCTAAAAGAGGATTTTGCAGACTGTTTTCAAAAATTAAAAAGAACACCAGTTTGAATGCACCATGACTCTACATTCTTAACCTTTAACACTCTGTAGGTGACTATTTTCACTAAGCAAAATGTTACTTTCTGCCAATGCAAAATGAATTTGAATTTCTTGGTTGTTTAGTCATATCCTTCTATGGCGACACCTAAAACAATCTTGACTGAAATTGAGAGCCAGGCTATCGCAGTTTCAAATATATAGAACTAAGATATAAAACACGCTATTTTGAGGAAATTCCATATACAGTGAAAGGGGGAAATAATATTTATAAATGATGTACAGTGTTAAGTGTTAACATTAAATGACTTTCTTTCTGGAAAGATCTTGTAGATAATTTTGTTACAAATGAAATGATTATTATTATTAAATTATTCTTATTTTATTTTGTTTTTTAATAAATAAATTATGAATATAGACAATTAGGATTTTTCTTTTGATCTGTCGCTATAAACAATACTTGTTGTGTATTATTTCTTTTTACTAGCGTACTTGTGCCATCAAAGGTGACAGCAATTGTTAGAAAGTTTTAATAGATGCACTGAAACAAAAGTCTTGAAATAATGGATTGAGATTCAATAAAATGGAGATAAAGAATTCACAACTAAAATGGTGGCCAATAAACCATTTAATTAATCTGTTCCCTTTATATTTTTTTTTTAGATATTAAGTGGTATCTATGATTCATTGATTACTCCTGGTATTATAGAAATTGCTTTTTGCTCAATATCTTTTCATGTTATAAATATTTTCTGTCTAATATAACAGGTAAATGGAAAAAAAAATTCTCAGAAGAGAAAGATTAGCAACAGAATGACAACGGCTTATTTCAAGACCAAGTTGAAGCAAGGCAATGACTTAAGACAAAGGTATCCGAGTGCCACACATGAAAGGCTTGAACAGATAAGATTGCAATCTAAGAAGCATGTAGAAGTAAAGGTACCGATTAATTAAACTGTTAATTTTGCTCTGGAACTAATTTTGTCTAAATGCAGATAAATATTTTATTTGTATAGATTAAGACTAAGGGAAGTAATCACTCATAAATTTACTAAAGTTGATTTACTTCCCTTCCCACTACAGATGTTACAGGAAATATAGAAATAAATACACATTGATAATTATTATATGGTTTGATGTTGTATGACTGTTGCAAGAAATTTTCTTTAATCCTTCTTTGATATGGCAATTTCTGATGAGCTACGACACTTGGAACTGTATTTAGTTGAAGAATTTCAGAAGGGCCGAAAAGTTGCTGACCTTTATGAGTTAGTACAATATGCTGGCAATATTGTCCCTCGTCTGTGAGTATTTGTGATTTTTTTTTCTTACCTGCATGACTTGAATGACCTTTTATAGTGTGTGTGTATATATATATATATATATATATATATATATATATATATATATATATATAATACCATTCTAATACATGGCTAAGAAGTGATTTCATAATTCAATAATTTTTTTTTTTTATAAACAGAAATTTGGGCTACCAATGGGATTACCTCTTTGTAATGTATTAGCATGCCTTAAAATTTCTAGAAATTGGTTCTTTCAAAAACATTTTGCAAAAAGAACTTAAGTATTTCTGATATACTGATGTTTTAATATATCCCTACAAATCAATGGTAGTCTATCAGAGAAAACTGATAAGTAAAAGAGGTAGTGATGATTTTCTAAGCATAGTTTATATGTGGCACAATGCCAAAATTATGGGGCTCCCAGTGAGATTT